CGGGCACAGCTGTCCATGGAGACCCTCCTGCTCCAGCCCACCGTCCCGCAGGACACGGCCACGTCTTAACAGGGCATAAAGGGAGGGCTCCTCTGCCCTGTGTCATCTCCAGTGGGGTGGGAAAGGAGAGCGCACTGAAAGGAAAGCAGCAGCTTGAAGAGAACTGAGGCTCCCCGGATCTCAGTGGGGAAGCGATGCAGTGGGGAAGAGATGCAGGAATGGCCAGGTGGACTCAAGTGAGAAACTGAGGTTGGTGGGGTTTTTCTATGTCCCCCAAAAGTGTGGTGACTCCCACCACACTGTGACTCTGGGACAGGGGTGTGGCTGGTGTGGGCTCTGCCCTGTGGCCACCCAACCCCTGTGCAGGTGATTCTCCGGCACCCTCTCTGCTGGGTTTTGGAGTGATGGGGATTGAGTGGTGGCAGCTCCTGGTCTGCATAAGACCTGGTGGCACTTTGGGGATGAAGGGCCTTTTGCTGGTGTGTGTGCAGGGCTCTCCCACCCATCAGTTGTGGAGCTGACCTTGCTCCATGAGAGCAGGGAAGCACCAAAGCTGGAGGGTGGCTGCTTAGGACCTCTTTAGTCCCTGAGAAGAAGGGTCCAAACCACCCTCATTGGTCCCAGCCGATGGGCTGATCTGCAGAAATGCCACAGTTCATTCCCAGGCAAGCTCTGTTACCTCCCTGTGCCTCAGTTTCCTCAGCTGTGCGATACTGGTAAGGCTGATGGCAGTGGGAGGGAGGAATGGAGATCCCCCCCATGCCCATCCAATGCCAAGAACAGCCTGGACATGAGGTCCCAGACCCAACACGGGAACTTTCCTGAAGGCTGTGACAAATCAGCCGAGGAAGGAAGCCTGTTTTCCAGCAGCTTAGTGTTTCTGAGAGCTCTGCCCCTCGGTGAAATTGGATTGAAAGCAGCTATTGTGGGTGGCCAGGCACGGCTGTGGTCCCCGAGGAGGGTGGGCTGGCACTGCCACCAAACCCTGCAGCCTGTAGCCAGGTCACCAGGCACTCATGCCTAGTGGGGAAGGAGCCTGCTGGAACCTCCATCAAGACACTTTGGGATGTGACACCTCAGGCACTTTTTCCTTAGACTAGTGCTTGGTGATGCCACCACAGTGGGTCTCACCCAGGGCAATGGGTTACACCCTGAACACCCTGGGGCTGTAACACAAACCCCAGGGCTGGGACACAAAAGCAAGGGCAGATCCCGGCTGCAGATGCCTGGTAACTAGTCAAAAGTGCTGCAGAGGACATTTCAGCACAGGACACCATTTCTTCCTCAGCCAGCTGAGTGCATCACCAGGTAAGCGTGGAGAGGGAAAGCAAAGCCAGCAGGAGCATATGGGCAGCTCAGCCTTGCTATGGCTCCAAGCCACCACCCTCTGGACACAGGAATGAGCTCTTGGCATTCGGGCACTCTGCAGAAGTACCTTCCCCATCACTTACCTCCAAGGCTTCTTGTCCAGCTGTTTTTTCCCACCAGCCCTTACACCTGGCTCCCGACACACCGATCTTTGCTCATCCCCCATGCCCCTGCAGCAGATCCCCAGCTGTGCCATGGCTGTGCTGGGTGATGGCTGTTCCTCTCTCCATCCTACCCTTCAATCCGGCCCCAGGGCCTTTTACTTCCCTCTTCTTTCCTTCTTTCTCCTTCAAAAGCTTAAAGCACTTTTAATTGCCATGGTAATTTTTCGCAAAACCATAAAATTATCCTTGGTTCCTGCCAGCTGCTTTTCATACTCCCTCTTACTCCTCCTTACTCTTTTTTGGAAGATGAGCCCTGCAGTTCCATCACTCCCTGGGCTTGTAACCCTGAGCACCCCAATTTCTCTGTGCATTCTCTGCCTCCTCCCACAGGAGCTGCTCCAGTGGGGAGAGGTTTCTTCCTCCTTTTGGGAACTCCACAACATGCAGATGTTTGCAATGACTCTTTGCAAAACAAGACAGATTTTTTCACTAGTCAACTGAGATGCAGTATTTTCAGCTCCTTGGATTCCACAAAGCTCACACACACATCCATCCTGTCAGCTTTTGTCCTGCATCCCTGCATCCCAGTGCTCCCCACCCATCCTGGATCACAGCCTTCACCTCGCATGGGGCAGCACTGCCTTGTGGGCTGTGCCATCACCACAGTGCTGGAAGTCACAACCCCAGTGTTTCCAGGGCCTCTCCAGGAAAACTCCATCCATCCACTTGGCAGCTGGGAGCACCCAAGGCACTGGCTGCGCAGGAGACTCCTAAATTTTCCTCTGTCTCAAAAAAACAAGTTGTGTCTTCAATCACAGGGTGGGAGAGGGCACAAGCCGTGTCAAACATAGGCTTGTTTTTACCCCTCTTTGTATTTCAACAGCTCCTGCAGCCCAGCCAGGCCACAGCCAATTCTCCAGCTGCCTCCAAGGTGGGAGTTGGTGAGGGTTTTGCCTCCTCCCTCAGTCATCACATTATTTCTCTGGGATTTTCCCAGCTTCTTGATCTCATCTTTGAGCAGCCTGGCAGTCCCCTGGGATGCTTCTCCTTGGATCCCCACCTTGCTGTCTGCCTCTTCATGGGCCTGGGGGGAAATGTCTGGAGGGAGAGTGGACAAACCAACCGTGAGAGAGATTCAGGAAGCTGGTCAACCCACCTGTCCTCATGCTGGCTGAGACCTCTGATGGCTTAGCTCATCAGAGATGCTGCAGAGGACAGGAGGGGAACTGAGCTGAAAGAAAGGGTCTCGCTTGGCTGTGTAGACAAAAAGCCGGGGCTGGGACAGGAGAAATCCCTCCAGTCACAGTGCTCAGGCAGTAGCTGGGGACACCAGCACTGCTTGATGGCTGGAAGCCCATCTGCAGCATTCAGATCCTCTTCCCACCCCTGAGCCAGGAAGCTGTGTTATCCTGCTCCCTTTCTCACACTGAAGGGATGCCCCAGGACCTCACTGCTCTGTGGCACAATCCTCTGAGGGCCACTAGCCTGGCCCCTTTCTCCCTGGGTCTGCTCTGTCTTTACCTTCACCAGTGTCCCCCTTACCCAGGGGTTTCCTGAGATGCTGTCACAGTCCTGGCAGCGGCCAGGCAGGCTGAGGCACAGCTGCAGTTGCCTTTTCCTGAATGCTATGCTCTGAGCAGGATGCTGCAGGCACCAGATGTTTGGTGAGAGATGGCTGGGTGACCCAGATGTGGGATTGACAGCAGTCAATCAACCCATCAGCTCCAAGGTCCCTGTGCCAGGCAACTCCCTGGAGCAGCTCCCTGCTGCTGGCAGGGCTGTCATCCCTCACTGACATCCCTCTGCTGTGATCCTCCAGGGAATCCCTGCCAGAGCTTGGGATGTGAAAGGGCTTTCCTGTTATCAGGGCCACGTCTCCCAGCAGGGAGAAACAGCCTTTGAAGAGCAAAGGGATCTCTGGGAAGGCTGGCAGAGCTTCCTGACCCTCAGCTGGCCAGGCTGGGGCTTCCTTCCCTGGATCAACAAAGAGCTCCAGAGGCTTGTGAAAGGGGTGATTCAGCAAAACAGGATGAGAGCAGAGGCAGAAACACCAAGTCAGCACAGCTGGATGGGGTGGAATTCCCATCCTGTGAAAGCCGTGGGGAGCATGGCTCAGGTGTTCTACTCCCTCAGGGGTGGGGGCAACTCCTGGAAGTCCAGCTGTTCCGCATGCCAGCCCTGGAGCCAGGAATACAACAGGAAAACAGTGGTGGTGTTTTTTGTTTGGTTGTTTTTTTTTTCTTTCCCATTCCCAGAAAGATCAAGTCAGACTGGCCTGGCATGTGATGGAGTGGGTGGGAAAGCCATTTTGCCTAAGAGAAGGAAATGCCATCCTCAGTCACCAATCAAATGCATTGAAAAAGCTGGATTACGGCCGCAGGACTGGTTGAAACCACCCGTTCTGGTTTAAAAACATGCTCTGCTGATTTGGCTCCTAGTTTCTGACCTGTTGGAAGTTCACATTTCTTTTGTAAACACAAAGGGTTCAAGCTCACTTAAAAAGAAAAACCAGAAAGCTGTGATTCCCACACAGTCATGTGGCTCCAAGAGCCAGGGCTTGCAGAGAAATCCAGCCACACTCTAAAACTGGGAGAGCTGAGAGCCCCAAGCACAAAATGGTCCTGAAAAATGAAGGCTCTGAACTGAGCCCTCAGCTTTTTTGTCCCAGCTGCCGACAATCCAGCCGGGACCCGCACTGCAAAGCCAACAGCTTTAGATAAGTGACATCGTATTTACATCAATGTAACTGTGAGCAGAGTCCGACCATCAGCCCTGAATCCAGGAAAAGTGGGATGACGTGCACATTTAGGCAGCTGGAAAATCTTTTATCTTTTGTCCAAAAGCCGGTGTCTGATTTCAGGACAAAATCTTTCCAAGCCACGCTTTATTTAAAAAAATAGTCGGTGCTGGGTTCGCTCTCGCAGCAGGCTGTGAGTGATGCTGCCAAAGCCCTGGGGGTGCCGGTCTGGGCTCCGGTTGGGGCACCCTGGGCACCTCCCCAGCCCGGGGGGCCAGAGCCGCTCCCCCCGTGGCCGGACCCCTGAGCCCCCAGCCTCTGTCCTTCCGCGGGTGGGACAGACCCTCCTGCCCAGGCTGGGACTGGGAAGGGGACCATCCCTGCCGCTCCAGCGGGAAGGAAGGGCTGCCCTGCCCGGGCTGTTATGGACAGCGCTGATGGACATCACGGACGGACCGCACTCATCGTCCTTCTCCAGCTCCACAGGGAGCCCTCCGAGCCCCGCCGGGCCGGTTCAGCTCCCTGAGCTCCCCGGTGCCGATCCCGTGCCCGATCCCGGTCCCGATCCCGATCCCGGTCCCGATCCCGGAGCTGTCCCGACCCCCCCGTGTCCCCCCCGCGCGCACGCGCGCCCCGGCCCGGGTGACGTCACCCCCCCCGCCCGGCGGTCGAGCCCGGCTGATGCCGGTGTGTGTCGCGCCCGCCCGCCCCGCGCTCCCCCCGCCGATGCCTGGGCTCGGCGGCGCCCGCCCGCCCGCCCCGCCGCGCCGCCCGCCCCGCGCTCGGGGCCGGGGCCTCCGCCGGACCGGACCGGACCGAGCGCAGCCCGGCCGAGCTGCCACCACGGACCTGCCGCGGGTGAGTGCCCGGCGCGGCGGGGAGGGTCCCGCGCCCCGGTCCCGCCCGCACCCGCTGCCCCCCGGCCCCGCAGCCCCCCGGCAGGTGCGGGGCAGCGGCGCCGAGCCGCCCGCACCCCCTGCCCTGCGCGCGGGGGTCGGGACACGCGTGGAGCCCCCGCCCCGGTGCGCCCTGCCCTGCCCTGCCCGGGCCGGGGGCTGAGCTGCCCTTCGCTGCCCTGCCGCGGGCTCCCCAGCCACCGAAATTGGAATAAATGCAATTAAAATCCCGTCCCGCCGCTGCGGGAGCTCTGCGGGACCCGCCCGGCTGCGTGGGGCGGCTCGGCACCCCTCTCCCCGCGGGGTGCTCTGGGCTGCTTTTGCTTTAGTCTGGGATTTTAGAGGAAGAAAAGTGTTTTTCTTCCAGCCCTCGCTGGCTGCTCGCTCCGGGGACGGCGTGGAAGCGGAGCCCACTCGCGTTGCAGTTGCGGGGTGGGAGGGTTGGTCACGGTGGGGGTTTCTGTGGCTCCAGGTGTTGCAGCGATGCCGGGTTTAACGTGCCTGGCCTTGGGACAAACGGGGATGAGAGCAGGCACATCTCCCTCTTCGCACAGGTAGGAAAACCGAGTGGCTGCTGAGCGAGGTGCCCGGGGCCGCTCAGGAAATCCGTGGTGCAGCTGGGGCTAAACCCCAGATTGCCCAGTCGCCGCTTTCCTTGCCTGGCTGGGGACGGTGGTTTAAACCTCACCCCCTTGGGCTGCCGGGGTGAAGTCCTGCCTGGGCCGTGCCAGCTCCCAGCCGGGGCTCCCGCGGTGCCAGCCGGGTGGGTGGCCAGGAGCCAGCAGACCGAGGCCTCTCCGCTCCAAGCGACGGATTTGGAGAGGTTGTCCCTTTGGATGGAACGTGGATCCAAGGTGGAGAGTGGGTGTGTGCCCCTCGGGTGTCACATTTGCTTGTCCAGCTGGCCTGTGTGAGAAGTAACCCCGTCTTCCTGCTCAGGGCATGCTTAGTCTGTGCCCTCAAGTCTCAAGCAATAAGGTTTTTCCGAGGAGTTCTCTGCTATTCTGATTATGAGATGGGAAACTTTTGGGGCAGAGGTAGGTGATGAGTCTCATTAGGCCATGTGACGTACCTGGAAAAACTCACATACAAGCTTGTGTTTTCCCATTTCTGCCCCACTAAAGGCAAGAGCTCTGCCCATCCGTGGGTTTTCCCTCTGCCCATTGCTGTAGAGTGGCTCTAGTTGCACAGGGAGGGTTTCCCTGCTCCCTGACCACCTACTCTGGCTGCAGTCCCCAAACAGGGATCACAGCGTCCTGAGGAACGTTTCTTCATGGATAGGAAGCCAGAAGTTTTACTTTGTTATCTGGAACAGCTTATTCTAAACTAATCTCTCTTTAAGAGATGAGAAGGAGGGGAAAACAAAAACCCCTGATGCTCAGAAGCATTTTATTTACCATAGATGAAAACAGCAATTTTATGATAACTTCTATTAACTAGGTTGGGTCTGTGACCTTGATGTATTTTACAACTCGGGATGCGTAGCTGAGAGGAGGGAGCAGACTGTTTCAGTCTGTTTATTGTTCCCTCTTAGTTCATCCCAGTAACTCGCAGCACAGGGATGCCCACACAGTTCTGGAGTCCTGACCCACCTTTGGGGGTAGGAAAGAGGAGGCGTTGAATGGCGTTTTGCTTCAGATACAGCTTAATCTGTAGCTGGTGTTAATTACATTATAGATGGATTGGGGTTTAGCATAGGTTTTTCTGACAGGGCTCAGCCTCCGCAGTTCTTGCTCCTGTAGGAAAGCTGTGGTAACTCGAAGCCCCAAAGTCACTCATGGGAGCACATCCCTCTCAATAAAATCCTTGTTGCAAAGCCAAGTGGAACCAGCCCCGTGGGGGCCGCTGGCTTTTGTCAGGGAGGTGCAAGGATGGACGGAGACAGTGCTGACAGCCTGGAGCAGGGCAGCCTGGAGCAGGTGAGCAGAGCTGTCAGTGAGAGCCAGGGTTGTCAGTGTGGGGAGATTTAAACAGCAGTGTGGCTCAGGTTTCTCCTTTATACAAGTGTGTCCCCTCATTCCTCAGGGTTTTCCTTCTATTTAAACCTCTTCTTCCTCCCCTCCAAAAACATGGTCCCCTTGTGTATGCAGGCTTTATCATCTGCCTTGGTTACTATGGTGTTTCTATGTAAAAGCAGCTCCTCTAATAGCTCCTGGAATTATCTACAACTTGGGTTTGCAGTCCAGCCTGGGGATGTGGGCCTGTGTCTGTCTGTGCCGTGGGACAGGTTTGGAGGCAGCATCGTCTGCAGGGCATGGCAGTGTCTTGGTCCCACAGGACCTCCTCCAGGTTTCCAGGCGTGAGGATCCCACTGCTCCATGCTAGGCTGTTGCACAGGGGCATTGCTGGCTATTCCCAAATGTGGGGCAGTGTCTGGGCAGCAATGAGCCCTGGAAGACCCACTCACATCCATCCCCTCCAGGGACCGAGCTGCCCACTCCCTGCTGAATGCAGTCAGGCTGTCAGCTCTCCCAGAAAACTGTTGGGAGTGGAGACAAATAACTGAGGGTCTGTGGAAATCTGTGCAAACAAAAGGCAGAAGGTGGGAGCAGAAGTCTCCCCCCATCCTGCCCCCAGCTTGTGCAAGCAAACCTCCATGGGTTGGCTCGTTGCTGCCCACTTTGCCACAGCAGGTCCCTTCCTTCTCCTCCCCTGATATTATTATTCCTTTCTGTCTTTTCCACCAGATTTGCATGTAAAACAAGCACAAGGGAGGTTCACCCTGTGGAGAGGTCCTTGGTTTGCTCATGGTTAATGTAAATTATTGTTGCCCTTGTTCTTACAGGGAGCTGGTGTGACCCTGGAATAGAGGGATTTGGTTGGGAGAGCAGGAAGGCAAAGCCAGGTCCAGGTTCCCCCCACCCTGCCCATCCTAAGGATGATTTGCCCTGTGTAGACTCAGAATCACACTGAGTTGCCTGTCTCTTTGCAGTAACCACATAAGTAACCACAGGATGGTTATGTTTGTAACTTAGACACCTCTTTCAGATGGAAAGAGCCTAATTCTGCTATGGAGGCTAATTTGGAGAAGATCCTGCTTGCTGGTGCCTGATGGTGTTTGTGGTAAAGGTCGGCAGTCTCTCTCCTTCTGGCAGCTGTGATGGCTTTCTGGCTTTGTTGAGTAGGAAAGGAGTGATGTTTCTAATTATAAAGGGAAAAAAAAGTCTTGTACTTCTCCCCTTCTTTGTTTGTTTGGTTTTTTTTCTCTTTTTTCCCCTGGACAAATGTTCTAAATAACAACGGTTAAAATGCAAGTGGAGTGAGTTTGTGTGAAGTGACTGAGAAGGCCTGGTTGGAGGAGGACTGGTGGAGCCAGAGGAGCTGGTGATGACACACGGCACAAGAGCAGAGCTGAGGTGGTTGGGTTGTCACCAGAGGCAGTCACAGCCATTGCAGCCATGGCTCATCTCCACATGGAAGATGTTCTTGTGCCCTTCAAATGCTTCACGGTGTCTCTTTCCTGTCCACAGAGGGACACAGTGTGAGGGTGCCCTCTTTTTGTCCTACAAGCACAATAATGGGACATGTAACTGAAATCCCTTTTATCTATGTGCTCTCCACTCCTTATTCCTACTTTTTTTTTAATCGGAAGTAGAAAAATTGGAGAATGAGCCTTCTAAACTGTGCGTCCAGTTGCAGTCATGGCTTCTGTAACATTCTTCCAGCTGCAGGCGAGCACTGCCCTTGCTGTTCCAGCCAGGCCCCTCATGTGTGCACTTGCTTGGGGAAAAAAAATGAAATAAAATAACATGGTGTTGAGATTGCAAAAGATTCCATTGTAGCTCCACCCAAACACTCCTGCCCAGTAATGCTCAGAAAATTCGGTCTGGGTGATGGGGCTGCCTTGCTGCTGGGCTGCTTGGGGGAAGGGGAAGAGCTTTTGGGTTGATTGTTTTTTTTTTTAGTACTGAGGTGCTTGAGAGGGCCATGTCAGGAGTAGGGTGGCTGGTGTTTGGCTTCTTAATAAAGAGCCTGGGAGGGACAGGTTTGAACTGCGAGCACTCAAAAATGAACTGGGCAAGAGGCAGATGGATCAGCTGAAAGGGGCTTCCAGGGAGGGGAGGTTGCTCTTTGTCTTTTATCTCTTCTTCTCCAGACTGAATATCTTGATGTTGTTTTCAGGCTGATTTTGTCCCACTGGTGTAAAGGGCATCACTTTACTCCTGTGGGAAGGATAAGAAGGGAGCTGGTCGCTCCCGGAGCCTGGCTTGGCGTGCGGGATGCTCGCGCATGCTCCGCTCGCATGCCTCAAGAAATAAAGAGGTTTTCATGGAACTTATGAAAAACTTCTCTCTTGGAAATAGGTCAAGCAAATATTTATTTGCCTAAGGTGTCATGCCAATGTTGCACAAATACTTGAATGGGTAGTCATTTTATTTTTCCCTGCTTTGTTTCTTCTTAAGCACATTCAGTGCTTTTTTCCAGGGGTGTAGAGGCTCACATTAAAATCTGTGCATCTCCTATGGGCTCGTGCTCTACAATTGCAGTGCTGTAAATTGGAAGTTATGACACTTTTTTTCTTTATATCCACGTGCTTATCAGAAATCTGGGGGAATTTTTTTTTAGTTCTGTGGAGGAGTTTCAGGTCAATGGTGGGTCGGCTGCCTCAATGAATTTAAAAACAAAGCTCCCAGAATACAGCAAATCTCCCCAAAATGGTCATACTGGTGTCTCACTTTCCTATCCTAAAGCCTCAGCTGTGGTGTTGCTGGTATCCTTCTGGAAATTAAGTCCAATGGTTGGGTTGTCCCACAGATGGAGAGCGCAGTTGCTGCCAAAAGCTTGTGCTCTGCTGGCTGATGGAACTCCTCCTGTATTCCACAAATAATCAGGGATCAGTCAGTATCTGTCTTCAAAGAGGGATTGAAACTTCTTGCCTGCTCTTAAAATTGTAAAAATGAAGAGTTTAGTTTAAGAGGACCAAAATTAGACTTGAGGTCTTGGGTACTTGATCCTGTAGCT